AAAACCCCCTTTATTTTCGGGGGATGTCTATTCTGTCCCCTTGGACTTCAACAAATCTCCCTCGTGTCCCTTTGCTTTCTTTAAATTGTATTTTTATACTTTCTCAAAAAATCGGATTTATTTTTATGCTTTTTCAATTTTGTCTCAAAATATGACTAGGGCTACATTCCCATTACCGAACCATTTCTTCGAGATTTGTACTTATTAAGCTATTATGTAACAATTGTCATAGATAGTTGATTTACTGGTTACAAATTCTGACGAAATGATGTCGTAACAGGATTTTAGAATCTCCCCATACTATAATATGTGATTAAAAGATTGCTAAATCCAAATACATGTGACTGAATATATTTTAATTAATACACATAATGGATTATATAAGTACATATTTTAATGAATAAATTAGCTAAAAGAAAAGTTTGACCGGAGAAAAAGAACAATTTTTTTTTTTTTTAATCTCGATTTATTTTGTAAATTGAAATTTACACTCAATTCACCTCGAGTCAACCAAACAAACACAGGAATATCTAATCTTTTGCTTGTTAATGAATGCCCTTCGTACAATTTTGTGTGTGCCCCTTTTTTTTTACCTCAGGTGAACCGTTTTTTTTTTTTTTTTAAATAAAATTCAGGACAACATTTTCAATTTTACGCAATTTTGAGATGTACGTTTTATGTTACATAACTTATTTTGTGCTATATCAAAAATAGAAAAAAATGTACCAACGTGGTTCACTCAACTGACAAACAGCTTGATGTCGCTTAAATAAAGTCTCGAGTTCGAGTCTTTGTGAATGCAAAAAACTCTTGTTGGGAGACTCAGCCACCATTGTCAGGTGTGCGACACGAGTCGACCAACGAATTAGTCGGGACAAAGTTCCAAATAACGTGACTGGCTACCAAAAAAAATAGAAAAAATATGACTTAATGCGTTCCTTGTTTGATTATGCCCACGAAAAAAGGTCCATTTTCAACTACTTAGTAAATGTTGTTATTTATTAATTGTGTTTAATAAATGAAGTTATATAGTTGGTTATGTATATTTTTGTGTTAGGTGTCAAAATATTTCATGGCCTAAAAGGCACGTTCACCTAAATATATTTATAACTCATTCCTTTTTTTCCTTGGCTGCGTAACCACTTTGTCCCAAAATTTTTTAGGTCGCCCTCATATTTGGTACGTAGGTGTTTTCCAACGAGCATTTGTTTCGAAATTAATAATTAATTTTTATAATTAATTAATTAATTAAAAAAAATATTTAGTTTCGAAAATTGTTTTTTGTCTATTTTAATTTTTAAAAAATTATATATGGGACTACTATTATATGTGAATTAATTGAATTATTGCACTATCTTAAGTATTAGAATATGGTCCCCATTTTCATGAATTGTTCTTTCGCCTTATCCTGCAACTTTTCCCATTAATGTTTGCACATGAGGTGATGTGTTGTTTGTGTAGCATGTGCAGAGTTTTAAATAACAAGGCTTTCCTATAATATTTTCATCTAAAAATAACTGAACCTCATAGATTTTCTTGTAGGATTACTGTTAGGTATGTTTTTTAAAATATATATATTTTTTTAATTGTGGCTAGTCAAGTTCATTTGGACTCATTAATATGTTCATCCGGTTCATATCCATATATTTCTTGTGTATTTATGTCTTTGTTTTGAGTTTATTGTATTTTCATATTCTTGCGTTTCGTTGGTGTTTTCATGTCAACGAACCGTAATCCATGAGGAATAATCGAGTCTGAGTCCAGAGCACGTGAGGCATAGCCCAACACTTACCATGATCGTCCATTTTCGAGCATCCCGTTATAGTCTCCAATTTGGTGTCTACTACCACGAGCATTTCCCGAGAAAGTTTCGCCGATTGCGAAGAAGAATCCAGACGTTGACAAGAAACTTTACAGTCGAGCCATAGAGGACTAGCTCCGAGCTCATGGGCGCGTAGCCCAAGCATCGCCAAGCACACATGAGTCGTTGTTCAGCTCGCACTCAGCCATGGCTCGAGTGCGTCCTGCCCAATGCATGTGTTGCACCGCATCGACCCGCAAACACGCTCTGGTCGTTGCCAAGTGTTGCTCGATAGTTTGCGCATGCTGAGCCCACGCAATCCATCATCGCGACTCCAACTCGAGGCCTGCTTGTCGCCGAGAGACCTCTGTGCTCATTGCCGAGCGTCGCCCTGCCTGTCGCCAAGATCGCCTGCACACTCCAGCATATTGTTGAAGATCGACTTTTCGACCTGTCTTGGTCGACAACGACGACAGCCATTTGCCGAGCCAAGGGACTCGTCATTGTTGCGCGAAACAGCGTGCGGGCAGGCTGTGCGAAACATGTCAAGGCTGCACGGGAACGCGCAAGGCAATGCGCGGCAATGGTCTACCAGTCCACGAGCATGCGAGAAATGAACAGGCGCGACCACACAACGCACATGTGAAGCACGGTTCGCATGGGCGAGGCAGCGTGACCATCGCGCCGCGGAATGAGAGCTTCGGGGTACCAGACAAGCACGCGCGAACTCCCCCACACTTAAACTCTTTATTTGTCCTCAAGCAAACAAAACAACAAGTAGCTCGAAAAGAAAATTAAAATCAACGAGCATGCGAAATGAAACTCTCATTTTCATCCGGTATTCCTAAAATCAAAATTCAATCCGAGAACACGGTCCCAACATGGTTAATCCATACAAAACAATAACTCGTCCCGAGTCATTCT